AATCTTAATTTGTGAGAGTATAAAATCTTCATTTTTTTAAACACTTCTAAATTCTTTTTTGGGATACTGTCACATATCGTTATATTTTAATTATAATAGAATTTTCGTGAGGTTAAATTCTTTACGACTATACTATTTTATATGTAATATATATTATGAGTATAGTATGCAAGTTTTATATACTCAAATGCGATTTTGTGACATACTTCACTACTTTACTAAACCATACTCTACTACTATTCGCAATACCGGTCATAGCCGGGCTGGCAGAATTGACGTTTAACATTATAATAGACCAAAAAAGTTCTCTAAAATATATACGCTTACGTACGTACGTACGCTCGTACCATTCACGTGCCCGAGATTTTTGTGTATAATTTGCGATGTCACTATGTGTAGATGCTCTATTGAAATCAAAGTTTCGAGTACGTATTTAAAACAATTGATTTCGCTTCTGCATAACAATATATAATATGTTATGAATTAAAGATACTCATTGTTTAAATATATATTAATTAACATTCTAACTAATTTTAATTAAAAAACTCGGGATTGGTCAATTTAAGTACAATAGATGAGCATTACATGCATATATTTAAAAAAGCAAAGAACCAGTGCGTTTATTTCTTGGAGGAAATCCAGGGCCAAGTATTTGTTTTTAAAGAACAAATAAAATTTTTTTTTAATTATCATCTTTAGTAACAAATTATAATAAACGTACAACTAAATTTATGTAAAGATTTTGATTTTTCTAAAAAATAACGCTAAATATTTACACTTAAATTTAGGATCTATTGATGCAAGTAACAGGTAATAACAGGTAAATGTGCGTAATAAGCAAATCAATCCTTATTTGAATTGCAAATTCTGCAATAATCATGCTCAAAAATGCGCTTTTATTATGTTTCTGAAATCGTAGCTCAAGGAATTTTTTTTTTACGTACGTGCAGTATTTCGATGAAAAAGATTAACTATACTACCTATGTTATCTGTGTCATTCTTATTTCAACTTGAATCATCGGAGGCCACTTCATTCAAGCAATTATGTAATTGACGATGCTTTTTAAAAAGTAATCTTCACATGAACATTTTCTTTGTTAAGAAGTCATAATTAATATCAGATCATATGATATTATTTATTTTGTAACGCTTGGAATGTATTAAGTAGCATCAAACACAAATGTGTGTCATATTTTATAAGTAAATATAAACTGCAGGAAAGCTTGTAGTTTGTAAATGCGAGTTCAAATGCAAGATTATAATTCGATGTTTTTTTAAAAAATAAATAAATAAATATTTATTTACTCCTTAATCAAAAAAAAAAAAATTTCATTATAAAAAAAGCCAGTTGAAAATCCCCTTGTTTTCAATCGGCCTTGATTAAAAATTTTTTAATTTTATAATATATACGTAGTAATAGCATTTATGCAGAGCATCTAGTGCTTAGTTTCATACCTACTTATGTTATACTGGTAATTTTACGATTCTTGTCCGGAAATTTGTACCCCAGATTATTACTTTAGAATTATTATTACAGTACGTATATCGTTCTTTTTATATAAACACAAGATACTCCCCTTTTTTTTTTTGGGTAAGAATTTTTTTTAAAATCACATTTTTATACGTAATAAATTTTTATTATTTGATCATCTTCCATTGATAATTTGATTATTATGATTATTTAAAAAAGATTTCGATCGACATTCCGAAAAAAAAAAAAAAAAAAAATTACTCTTATATTTGAATATCTTTTTTTGATTTTCTTAAATATGACAGTTTTCACATTATTATCTAACAAAAATAATAACAAAATGATCTTTTCAAAATATAATCAATTACAAAAAGTTCCTTATTTAATTTTACTTCCTAATGAAGTTTTGGCAGAAATTTGCGAAAATTTATCACCTGTTGATCTTTATTCACTTGCATCTACTTCAAAAAAACTTCGGAATTTTTTATGGTCAAATTCTACTATTACTCAACAAATTTGGCGTAATTCTCGTCGATTATATTTTCCTCAATATAAATCGCAACCACTTAAAGATATGTCAGAACAAAAATATATTTATTTGGCTGCTTTGGCAAAGAAATGTCAGTTTTGTGATGAAAAGGATTCACGAAAATTGAAAAAGTATTGGGAATTTCAAGTATATTCTTGTGAATGTTGTATTCAGAAAAGAATTGTCAGGTAAAAAGAATATAATTTATTATCAATTGAATAATATTGTAATATAAATAATTTGTAATATAAATAATAATGTAATTTTTACTTTATTTAATAGTCATAAATCATTGTTGAAAAAACATAAAATTTCTGAAGATGTTCTTTCAACTTGTTTAAGTTTTGGAGAACAAGGTTATTTTGTTCCAGACGTATTAACAGCTCAATTAGAATATTCAAAAACTCTAGATAAATTTTCTTGGGTAACTCATAAACAATTGGATGTTATTCAACAAAAATGTAGAATTATTTCAATCTTATTAGATGAATTTCATGCTGATAATTTTTTTTGTAACAAGGAAATTATTCAAAACTGAAAAATTTGCTTTTGCTTTTTTTTTCCTGTAATGAATTTTAGATATTTTAGATAGTTTTAGATTTAGATTACATCTTGTAAAAAGAATTCCTTCTAATAAACTGCAGCATATATAGATTTCAATAATATACTGTCTTATCAGGAAACTATAGTTCTTAGGTTCAGAAACCTGAAGCTTGATTTTTTAAAGAGGTTCTAATTTGGAACCTAGGTTTGTAAGTTTATAATAAGTTTTTTTATGATGACTCAGAACCGAACCTTCAAAAAACAATAGTAACAAAACTTTATATAACTAATTTTTTATTATATCTTTTTAAAGCAATCGTATTTTATTTTTCAACCGAAATTATCAATTCTCAAATAAATTTTATCAAGCAATTCTAAATGTCAAGAATTTAGATCTTCTATCCGAGAAATAAAAAAGAAGAGTCAAGTAAATATTTATATTATGCTTTTCTACGATATATAAAAAACTAACAAGAGGGCCGTCAATCCGTCCATTAATTATGTATTAAGATCAACCAGATTAGCATATAAATATATTTCAGCTATTGAATCTATAAATAATAATTACCTATACTTTATATATTATGAAAAAAAAAGCATAATTATGTGAAACCATAATATTTTGATTAGCTATAAAGTAAAATTCATAATTAATATTAAATATACACTAATATACATCAAATTAAATTCCTATTCCTCAATTGCTTAACTCTTATTAAAGCTAAAAAAGCAAAAATAGTAGAGGCAATAACTAATCCACTAGTAATACTCTTTTTCTTTGTAATATATTTCCCTATAAAACATATTGTCTCTACAAATGATTTCCAAAGTGTAGATTTTGAAGTGGAATTTATAGGATGTTTTACGATTGAATTACCAGTTTCAGAAGATGGTAAAGATTGTTCTAAGAAACGAACACGTTTTTCACATTTAGTAGGTGATTCAGTTATAATAGGTATGTCACTATCAGGAATATTACGCTCATGTATATGAGAAACTATTGGTGATTGAGTTTTAGGAGTTAAACTAGGAGTTAAACTAGGAGTAAAACTAGAAGAAAAAAAGTTAGGATCTTTGCGTGGCATTTTTGTTAGTAGTATGTTTAATTTTTTAGCAGAGGCAGGCATATCCCTTGTTGATACTAAAAGAGAATTTATAAATTTATAAATTATATAAGTTAAATAAAATTTTATCGTTATAAATAAAAGATAAATAAAAAACTCGAATAAGAATAAAATGATAATATACCTAATTTTAATATAGATTTAGGAATCCAACCTTTTGGATCAGCATTAGCGATTTGAGTTACAAAACATTTATTAGGCTGATCATTAATTGGAGCAACGATAAATCCAGCACAATCACAATCAAGCCTAATAACACCAGGTATTTTTGGACATGATTTATATTCAATACTCTTACAAGTCATCATCATCCTACCATCATTAAGTTTTACTACATGATTTAAGGTAACTACATCACGAGAAGAGACAGGAAATGCAGCTTTCATGCGTATATACTTTAAAAAAAAGAAAAAGTTATTATAAAAGTATATTTTATTGAAAATATCGAAATCATACATACCTAAACAGTATATAAAAATTTCGAATCCTACATACCTGAATAGTAGTATTTTCATCAATAATTTCAATTAATTTTCCTTCTTGCATTAAATGATCCCATTCCGGTCTTCTTTTGACATCAGCTAAGAAATCAAAAGTAGTCTCAGCGTGTTGTTCACAGTGCCCGTAATATTGTAACAATGATCAGAAATGGAAGGATTTTGATAAACTTTGACATCAGAACTTCTGCTCGCATGTAAGAGATTCCATGAATTATTGGAATCTATTAAGTTTAGTAGTGCCGCCTGCATAGAAGAGTATAGTTGAGAATTGTCACCTACATAAGAGAATATTAAAATATTGATTAAAAAAGAATTGATAAAATAATTATATAATTATGCTTACATATTTCAGGCTTGGAGGATGATTTTTGTGGTGTATTCTGTGATTGGCTTTGTTGAGATTGCGTATCTTTAATAGTGGACCGTTCGAGTGGGTTGATTGATCTGGATGACACATCATGGTTGACGTGTGGAAGTGATTTTTTGGAAAGATAGTCAAGCACTATCGATGATAAACTAGGGATACCAAGAAGGCGATGATATGCAAAAAAGAATATCAACTGAAAGAATATAAAATGAAGGACATCTAAGGATCTAGAAAAAAAAAACTTTATTTAAAAAAAAAAAAACAAAAAAACGTTAATTCTTGAATCAAATGACAAAAGGCAATAGAATAAAAAGAAACTTCGAGATTTACTTTTATTAATATGATATAATATTATAGGAGGGAATCCCAATACGACGATAAAAGATGCCAAATTTTGATTTTTTTGTTCAGTTTTCATTTTTTTTAATGATGCCAAGTTTGATGTAAGTTTGATGTTAAGTTTTGATTATTATGAAAATTATCACTCGGTATTGGATATTATGAAATTATTTAACCAATAACCAAATTCGGTTCTAAATATAACAATACAGGATTGTATTATATTTATATAAATAAAGTTTATAGATCGCATTAAAGATTATCGTTTGTTTAATTTTATTAATTTTTTATTCAAAAAAGTTTCTTAATCAGAGAAACCTTTTTTAAGAAATTATTTGGACGTACAATGTACAGTACATAGGAAATAAAAGAATTATTATTATTATTTTATACGAAATTTCGTTATGTATACAGTACTTAATACAGTATTTTATTAAAAAAGCCAAAAAACTATTTGTGGAATATTGTGCACTCCCATGACAAGATCTCAACTTTTTGAAAATTTGTTGCGGAGTAAACCAGTAATCCGGAAAATTTTACTACTGTAATCTATTCTATAAAATTATCATCTTGATAAAAAAAAAATATCCAAAAATTGTTAGATAAGTTTTGTACTGTATCACTTCTAAAACATCTGAAACTAAACCATCTAAAATAATGATAACACAATCTGGATTCTGTTTGGTGATTTTATAGACTTGTTAAAATTACCTCATTGAGATGATCACTTGGGTGGTAAAATTATCTATAAATGGACCAGTAAATCAAAGCTTAATCGCTGTCAAAAAGTACTTGGCAATTTGCAATATTCATTCTAGTGGACCGTTAATACAGTATACTATATATATAATTATGTAATTTTGCAAAGTTACTATGCTATGCTATATCCATGCTATATAATGCACTATGGTGCAAATCATATAATATATAGTTATTGGATGCGAAGCATCCAATAACGGGAGTTATTTGAAAAATAACTGGCTGTAAGTCAGATAAATAAGTTATTGGTATGTAACATCCAATAACGGTGTTATCCGATATCTTTACTATGATCGGACTGCCAAATAACTTGGTTATTTGGCAGTGTGAGTCTATTTTTGCCAAATAACTAGTTATTTGGCAAAATAACCAGTTATTTGGCAAAATTAGACTCAACACTGCAAAATAACCAAAGTTATTTGGCAGTCCGATCATAGTAAGATATTGGATAAAAATATGAATTTTACGTAACTTTGCAGTCAGGAGTAACAGTCAGGACGTGTCCTAAACTTATACATCGATATATATATATATATATATATATTAATTATTAGTAAAGCGAATATGTTAAAATCCAGTTCTTACCAGTAAATTATTTGCAGGTAAATCATTCATTGTAAAGCTGATTTTAAAGAGTCAGTTAATGTTGAAGCTGTAAATGAAGTTATTTCGATTATCAACAAGTTCTTTAACGAGAATTTTGGCGCGAAATATTAAAATGGATTTACTTTCAAAGCTAAATATTATAAACTTCGTTAACTACGCGTACTTTTGCAAGAAAATAAAAAATTCAATGACAGATTAGCTTACTGAAAAAAATGAAACAGAAAAGATACAAGTTTGTTGCAAATGTTAATTAACAATTAATAACAATAGTATTAATTAAGTCTGACGTGATAAATTATTTTAGAAAATGGAACATCATTCACTTTTTGTCAACTTACACATACTAATGATAATTATAATCTCAAGGTTTCGTGTTGCTGTTACAAATCCTAAACATAATTATTTCTTCAGTTATATTAGATTATAAACCTGGCTCTTGTGTCAGATGCAGAGACAAATTGATGCCAAAAAGGCTTTCTCTAGAGAATGATATGGATCCGGCATATAATAATAATGTTATGTATATAATATATATATACAGTATATTTAATACAATATTTTATCCTAAAGTGTAATACCTAATAATTAGGACAAAGCGTTGCGTTTTTCTAGTTTATATAAAGTATATATACTGTATTAGTCAAAAAAATAAATGACTTTTACCATCTGACAAGTTGTCATTTATCTTATAGAATGCCAACACTTAAAGTATTTATTGGACATTCATTGTAAAACGAGTAAACCTCTATACCACAAAGATCACAAAAATTTAATATTTTATAAATCAACTAATTAGAACATAAAAGATACAAGTGAAAATTAAGTTGTTTTTTTTTATTTTTAGGAAATAGATATTTTTAAATTAAATAATGATTCTTAGAATAATTAGTCTTAGTAGACAGCAAAAATATTCTCGCAAAATTTGGTTGTGAAAAATGTGATAACAGCATAAATTATTTTTTTTTCTAGTCTACGATGAATTCAATTAAATGTTTAATAAAAATTTTTTTTTTTTTTTTTTTTTTAAGACTATTCGAATAACCCTACTAATTCTTTAGTAAATTTAGCAATTTCAAACGAGGCACTAGCCAATCGTTGTTTTGCTGCCCGATTATTAAGAAAGTCATCTCTATTATCCGTTATTGATTCTCGCATTTCATCTAATTTATCAATACTTTCTTCTAATTCTTTTACTATAACATTACCACGTACACTTTGAGGAATATTATTGGATCTAAAAGAGTCACGGCACACCGCAATGACGTTAAGAACAATCGTCGTGATAGTGTTTATGTTGTCTGTGAGTTCTTTACCAAATGATCCACTTCTGATGGCAGTTAGAAGTGTCTGAATTGATTGAACTATAGATTCTGTTTGACGTTCAAGAAAATCCTGTTATTCAAATAAACATATAAACATATTTTTGGTTACTCACTCAATCATTATAATAAAAAATACTTCATAAATTATATATTATTATCTTACTTTTAATTCATCTACACCAATAGCGTATCCATTTGATTTTTCCACATTTAAATCAGATTTAGGTCCTGTATTTGATGAATTCAAATCATCCTGGCTAGGTGATGCATTAGACATATTTTCACTTGGTGGTAAAGGGGTATACTCCGAACTAGGCTTATTTGCGTCTTGTCCTCTAGTTCGCCGAAGTTTTACATGTTTAACCATTTCTACAACCGATGCATTCAAATGACTCGCTGCTGCGTCTAATAAGCTAACAGGTGATACACCATATCCAGTTGCGTGATTTTTTGCTGCGGTCATAAGTTGTTGGAGCGTAGCTGAAAACTTACTTTTTAGAGTATTTAATTTTTCTTTATCTTCTGCTTTCATTGATGAATTTCTACGTTGTTCATATGCATCAACTTCTTCGGTAATACCTTTACAAGCGATGACAATTGACTTCATAGCAACAAGAACGTTAGATGAGACCTCAGATCTATTAAGAAAGAGTAAATCCATATTATCAATTAATATAAATTCAGAGTTCCTTAATTATAAACCTGGTGAATAAATGCATACCGTCCAGCTCTTAATAAGTCATCGATTGCTACTTGATAAGCAACAATTTTGGATTCATCAATCGCACCATCTTGCGTCGGAGATAAAGAGTTATCATTCATAATATCGATTTTGGGCGTTTCTTTGTAGAATGAAGATGTCGCTATTATATAATATAAGATACATATATTTTTTATTAAATATTTCTTATAAAAAAAATATATGCTTGTTATTACATTACATAAAGATCGTGTCTTACCTTTCAAATTTCTCAATTCTGTCTTCACCTTCTCATATTTACTCTTCCAATCGTTCACTTCTTCTGATAAAGATTTAATTTTAGCAATGCTTTGTTCTTTTTCTGAATATAAATCATCATTCTTTATTGAAAGCGATTTTATCTCTTCTAATAATTTGGATGCTTCTTGCTGCACATCATTAGCAATCTATAATTAAATAAATAGAATAAATATATTCTGTAATTAGTATATAAATATATTTTCAAACCAATGAAGCATTTACATTAAGACATAACATAACCTCTTGCTGCTGCCGATAATTTTCATTTAATTTTTCAAAATCTCGTTCTAATTTTTCTATTTTCATTTCTTGTTGTTGATTTATCTTTACTTTTTCTTCTAATTGGTTTTCAAGATCACGTACTCGTGCGCTATCGCCATCAGAACCACCATTCCCCTATTAAATTTATAAAGAAAAAATGATTAGATACCTTTAATAAGTAACTCAACATCAAACCATACTGATAACTAAAAAATTATTGAGTTGTCTACCGATTCTAATTCTTTTATTCGTCTTTGTAGGGTATTTATTCGTTGCTCATAATTAGACCTTAACTTTTCT